ATCAGATATAAGATGTATTGCATTTCGAGGTTTCTCCACAAGCCGATAGGAGATGTGTCGCACAGCATATTGGGAATTCGACTACCATCCTCATTCGACTGCTACAACGAGAGGTATTTCCTGAGGAAGTTTCCATACTCGAGNGTGAAAGTGCAACGAAGGCCAGGAGACACATGAAGCTGAAGTCGAGCCGATTACGAAAATTAGCTCCGTTTCTAAACGATGGAATTATTAGAGTCAGTTGTCGATTAACATACTTACCAATTCCATTTAGTGTGAAACACCCGATTTTGATGCCCAGTAAATATTACGTGACACGTCTGCTAATATTTCACTATCACATAATGAACGGTAACGTAGGAGTTCAACATACCTTGGCTGGAATTCAAAGGAGGTACTGCATAATCAGTGGAAGTGCAGCCGTGAAAAGAGTACTGAACCGCTGCGCGTCGTGTTGCATTCGCAATGATCAGCCCATGCAACACCAGTTGTTCCGGATCAATATACCGTCTACCAACAGGCGTTCAGCACCGTAGGCGTCGACTACTTTGGACCAATCATAGTTGCGCGTGGGCGTGTACGTGAACGTAGGTACGGCTGTCTGTTCACTTGCCTGACAACAAGAGCAGTACACATTGAAGTGTCCCCATCACTTGATACGGACTCTTTTCTATATGCGTTCACACGTTTTGCTGCCAGGCGTGGTTGGCCGTCGAGGGTGTACAGTGACAACGGCCAAAACTTTCACGGAGCAGAGACTGAACTGAAATCTCTACTGAAACGAGTGAATCAGTAGAGGCTTATCGACAGAGCTAGCAACAAGGAGTGCGACTGGATATTCAATCCACCATGTGCAAGTCATCGTGGGGGCTTGTGGGAGCGGCTGATTAGGTCTATTCGAGCGTTGTTAGGTGGTATACTGAATAATCAGGTGGTTACTGACGACGTTTTATTAACGACCCTTATCGAAGTAGAAGGGATACTGAACGATAGACCGCTGACTCCGGTGCCAGATTCACCGGATCCGTATGCCACCATATCCCCTCGGGAACTGCTAATCATGTGTACCAACCAGCCACCAAAGGATGCAAAAATAAACCTACCTCTGAGACTGAGTAGACGTTGGCGACAGGTGAAGCACTTGAGCGAAACATTCTGGAAAAAATGGATCCGCAGCTACCTACCTACACTGCAGAGGCGACCAAAATGGCTTGATAAGTGTAAGAACCTAAGTAAGGGCGAATTAGTTCTAGTTTGTGATACACGCACCTCAAAGGGTCTGTGGCCTAAAGCTATCGTGGACGAAGTTGTCACCAGTGCAGACGGATGTGTTCGCCAGGTTTACGTGAGGACCAGCAAAGGGATACTGAGAAGAGATGTTCGCCAGCTCTGTCTTCTAGAAGGAAAACTAGAGGACAAACTATGGCAAGCAATTCAAGGAAAGAAATCAATCGCTGGGGGAGTGTAAAAGATTTGTGAATCCTT